TATAATGTGAGTCAATGGGGCCTTATAATGGTCCAATACTGCCCCATGCTGGACTCAACTTGGTACTGCTCCATACTTTAATAATATTTAATCTCAATTGTTCAGTGATTACAATACTAATATGATTGTATTTTGATGTTTGACTATAATATTGTCTTAATATTGCTCTATTGTTGTAATATATTGCACTTAAGTGTCAATAATTGCATTGGCAAGGTAAACTCTTTCTGTATACATACAATCCAATCCCTGGGATTGTCCTCTGCCAYATCTCCTATAGTCTCATGATGAGCCCTGTGGGCATTCATGCGGGAGATCAGGGTTCAAATCCAGCTACATCTACTTTAACAAAAATCTCTGCAAACTTCATATTGTCACACAATTACCTTAATTACAAACACCTGCTGACGTGACAGGCACAWGCTGGTATAGAAAACACATTTGAACTTGGTCAAAGTTCATTCTGCAAGTCCAATGCTGCAGGCAAAACCATGCTGCAATGACATGCTACGTGGCAATRCACACTTATTTTTACATCGTAAAAACCCATGTCTAGTTTGATTTGTGATACACACGCTTAATAATCAAATATGAAATATATATGACYTTTTATTCTGATTTGGTTTGCCTTGCTTACCTTTATTATTATCAGTCATGTGGTTTTTATTGTTCAAGTAGTGACAAGAAAGTTCAGAAGTTGTCATTTTCAAATTTACTGTCATCACAATGTGATTTTTCAGTGGTCAAAAGTGATTCTGGTTTTATTTGTTGTTGTTATTCAAAAAAAAAAAGGATAAACTATATGTGGGGACAGGGCCAACCCTATAGACATTCTGGGGCCCTGAGCAGAATTTGCAACACATTTTCAGTGAAAAAGATAGTCATGACTTATTTAATCTGTTATTTGTGCACAAAAWTTTCATCTTTCTTCTTCTTCCCCCCTGGTTTTGTCTTGTGAAAAAGTCCAATCTAATAATTTAATCAGAGAAACACGTCCTGCACCAAACGGAAAGTTTTCTTTTGTTTTAACTGTGGATAAACTTGATCAAACAGCAGGTACAGCTTTCTGGGTTGGTTTTCTAATTTTACTTTGAGTAAAATTTCTTCAATAATATGCTCTTCACGCCATTGGGCAACCCGATGGAGACATTAGCCACTGGAGTGATGCATGGTCCGTTCTGATGGTGAGATAGACCGCACAGGTAGTACTGGAAGTGTCATGCAGCCAACAGCTCACGCCTCGTCACACCACTCGCTCCCCTTCTGGTCCCACCTGTGACAGTACTGCTGCCATGCTAACGTTGCTAGCATCCGCATAAAAGACAAGGCTGGGTCTGGGGGAGTGAGGACAGGAGCACTCATAAGAACCTGCTTAAGGGAGGAAAATGCCTCCTGACAGTTCAGCCAGTGCTGGCTCTAGCCATTTTGGTGCCCTGGGCGAGTTGAAGCGCAACCCCCCC